CCCTCCCACTAATAGGTACTATGTTAGATCTCAGAGGATTTCAGAGTTGTCTCTTTTCTTGCTTGTTCTGCCTTTCTACGAATGCTGGCGAGATGTCTCATCATTCTCTCTGAACCGCTCACGATGTCTGTAGAAAATATGGTGACTAACAACAAGAATGTGGTCATGGGGGTTGAATATCAGCCAAGTGCTACTTCCCTCTAGCAATGTTTGGACAGCACTGACTGACTGACTATCTCTCACCTAAGCCTCTACCACACTATCACTAAGTGGAGAGTTTTCAATGAGTGTATAGTGTTCTAACTTTTTATTATATATATATATATATATATATATATATATATATATATATATATATATATATATATATATATATATATATATATATATATATATATATATATATATATATATATATATATATATATACATATATATACAGTTGTACCCCACTTAACGCGGTCAATTGAACCCAGAGGGTCCCGCGCTAAGTGAAATCCGCGTTAAGTGAACAACAGAACATATGGGATTAATTCCAATAGAACCCAGCCCGACCCCCAAACTCCACTTTTTGACGACACATAACTATGTTGTAGTAAAAATTCTATCTTAACTTTATGATGGTATGAAAAACAAGTAATATAGAAGAGGTTAGGTTAGGAAAGATAAAGGTTAACATAGGAAAAATAAAGAATAGGTTAAAAAACGAAAAATTTTGTGAAACACTTACGGTAGTAGAAGAGATGGGTCGGCATACGGGGATGGAGGCTGGTTCCGAGGCAGAGGGCAGATTACTGGCCCTCAGGTGAATCACCATTACTAGGTGAATCAACATCACTGTCACTTACAGTTGTCAGGGCTTCCCTGACAAATCCCTCAAAGTCAAATTCACTTTCACTATCACTGGCTTGGGCTGGCTGTGGTGGGTTGCGGGCGAAGAACTCGGTTATGCTTTGCTGACGGCTGGTGTTGATGTTGTCGTGATACACCTTGATGTACGGCTCCATAGCCTGCACCAGTCGGGTATGGAAGACTTCATAGCGTTCATCGTCATTGTCGCGGGAAAGGACGGACTTAATTTTTTCTGTAAACTCTATGACACACTTAATATCACTATGACTTAAACTAGGTTCTTCGGAGAATGACGCACCTTCTTCCTCCTCTTCACTGGCGTGTTCTTCTTCCAACATCTCGTCGGCAGTCACTTCAGGATCTTTGATCACCTCCAGGATGTCTTCGTTGGTGGTCTCGGAGAAGCCTTCAGCTGTAATATTGAGCGCAGCTTCTCTGGCAAGGTCCACTGCTACTGCAACAGTCTGAACCTCACCAGTCACAGGTTCACTCCTCCTCTCACCTGGTATGCCATGCAACACATGTCTCCATGCGTGACGAATCGTAGCAATAGTCAGCAGATCCCATGCCTCCACCAAGAAGTCTACAGCTTGTTTAACGTTAAACTTCTTCCAAAATTGTTTGACGAGAAGTTCTTGAGTCGCCGCCTCTTGTTCCTTGTCCTCGTCGCTTTTGCTCTCGCTGTCGGTGTCACCCAGCTTACGCAACTCATCCTTGGTGTTGGTAGAGTCGTTCAGAAGCTTGAACTTCTTTGCAGAGTACGCAGCTTTCACATTGCAGATCAACTCCTGGTCCATGGGCTGGATTAATGACGTAGTGTTGGGAGGAAGGAAGACCACTTTTACGTTGGGGTGACGATCCATAAGTAGGGGCGAGTGTCCAGGTGCGTTGTCAAGGAGCAACAAAATATTGAATGGAACATTCTGTTGCTCGCAGAATTTCTGCACGTCAGGAACAAAACAGTTGTCAAACCAGAAGAGGGACAGAGAAGAGGACATCCACGCCTTACGTGCGGTTAGCCAGTGGACATTAAGCTTGTTCATGTCCATATTCTTGTAGGCGTGCGGCTTGCGGGCTTTGTGAATCAACGATAACTTTGGTTTACAGGTACCGGAGGCATTGGTGGTAAACAGGACGGTGATGCGTTCCTTCTGCAACTTCCGACCCCTTACCTTGCTGGCAGACTGAACAACGAAGGTCTTGGAAGGTAACTTTTTCCAGAAAAGACCAGATTCGTCCATGTTAAACACCTGGTCGTCACTGTACTGTCCTTCCTCCATAATCTCACGTAAAAACGGAGGAAAATCTCTAGCCGCCACACGGTCAGCACTCGCTTCCTCACCACCAATGTTGATGTTGGTGATCTTGTTCCTCTTCTTAAACCTATGCAGCCAACCAGAGGAAGCATTGAAGGGTTTGGGCTCTGCAATTCCCAGTTTACGTGTCACTGCTGCGTATAGCTCACGTGCGTACTCCTGCACTGAGCGCGTGTCCACCGCCATGTTGCGTCGCGCCTGACGCACCAAATAACTCACCAGCAAATTTTCCACTTTTGCCAGCACCCTGTTCTGGCAATACCTGATAGATGAAGCACCTGCAGACTTTGTGATTTTCATGTGCTCTTTGATCTTGGCTGCATCCTTCTTGATCGTACGAATCGTAGATTCGTTGACGCCATGCTGGCGCGCGAGATCAACTTGCCGTCTTCCTTTCTCCAAATCTTGAATAATTTGGTACTTCACCTCGTAGCTTAATGAACGTCGTATCTTCTTTGGCTTAGTGCCGCTGGGTCCAGGTAAGGAAAGGTCTCTCTCTGGGGGCGGTGGTGGTCCGGCGGAAGCCATTTTACGGAACAATGGATGCGCGTTTACACGGTGTGGCCTTGAGGGATGAAACTGCCGCAGCTAGGTCAAGCATCGTCTCTCCTCCCTCCTCCCTCCCTCCCCGGGGTGGTCACGTCATAATACTTTAAGCCAATTACAGCTAGCAGCAGAGGGGGGTAGGGATGCATGGCCAATCACAGTCCGATACGTCATATGACGTCAGTGATAACGCAACAAAGACACACACTGCGCAACCTTACCGCGCGGCTTGCCCAAGCGGAGGGAGGAGGAGGAGGGAGGGAGGCAGGCAGGCAGGCGGGCAGGCGGGTGGCGCGTGGGCAAAATCTAAAAATAGCGTCTCGAGCCGGACACTCACCGCGTATATGTGGAAAAAATCCGTGTTAAGTGAAAGTTCAGCTCTGGCAAGGCACCGCGTATATGCGAAAACGCGCTAAGTGAAACCGCGTTAGGCGGGGTAATACTGTATATCGTCATTACTCTACATAAGAATATGAAAGCAACACTTATTTACTGCTCATATATATTGAAGGGTTAAATGTTGTACTCTGTATAGACAAGCAGAGAGAGAGAGTGCAGCCGAACTGCCGGATGTAAACAAACCTTAATTTCCCGCGGCTTTTTTTTTTTTTCAAGGGGATTAGCACCCGGCATAGGTCACTGACCCACATTGGGGCCTGAGGGGCAAAAATTTAATACTCCTGTAATAATAATAATAATTCAGATAAGTAAAAAAAAAAAAAAAGCTGCCTATCTACCTATTGGACAAACTAAAATCGTTCCGGACCACGGGAGTTTCCGGACCAAAGAATGCCGGACTAGAGAGGTACAACCTGTAGTACTGTATATTCTTCTTCAAGTCACCAGCTACTGTCTCATTACTATTAATACCAGAATCAATATTATTACTATCATTATGTTTACTTGACTAAGAATTTATTAACAATGCTATACTACACCAAGCTCTTTGTACTAACTACTGTACGGACATCCCCGTGTTATGGAATCCCTGGTTACAGAATTTCACCCTTAAGAAATTTTTAAATTATGACCAAAATTCTGGGCTAAGGAAAAAACTCACCTTTACAAAATTTAGGTAAATTTTTAAAATAAAGAAAATATATGAAAATCAAATTTTTTGACCAATTTTTACCCAATTGTAGAAACAATTTTGTGTGGATTCTCTGTGGTAGCCACAAGGAACCTGCAGTCCCACAACAACAATGGTTTTGGTCTGTTTGAATCTCCAGCAAATGTTCAGCTGTGCCTTTATTTTCTGGACTGTATAACAGGTATTGTACATACTGTGCATTCTTATTCAAGATGAGTGGAAAGAGGCCATCAGTGCAAGTGCTAGCAGTGGTGGCAAGGAGGTTTGACCAAAGGGAGAAGCTTCAAAATAATGCTACCTCCACTGTCGGAACAATCCGTGATAACAAAGACAAAATTAGGGATAGTGCTGAAGTTCCCACTAAGTACACTGTATTTTCATTGTAGTGATGTTATGGTTAAAATGGAATGCTTACTCAGTGTATGGATTGAGGACCAGACCAAGCAAAATGTTCCCATTAACATCATGGTGAGCTGTACACTGAAAAATTGTGCCATCAACAACAGACCACATTGGACAAGTTCTTTGCCTCGAGACCACATCATGCAGCCAAAGAAGATGATAATGATCCACAGGGAGAGGCAGGAGTCAGCAGTGACCCACCGTCTTCCTCCCAGTAACTCCAATTGCACCACCTCACCTAACTCAGCACCCAACATCATTTCCGGTAAGTAAAAATCGAGTGTTTTGTTAACCCTTAAGCCCAGGGTTAGGGTGCTGCTAGCAGTAACACCCCCCCCCCTCCGTGGGGTTAAATCGAGAAGAAAAATCAACTTTTTAAAAAATAATTAATAAAAAAAAAGTGGGAAAATAGGTGGACATTCTGGAACGTCACCCGGGGCCTAAGGGTTAATTTATTATCATGTTACATCATGAATGACTCACTGTATAGGGTTAAAACCATCTAATTTCATACATATATTGCTTGTGTCACATTTTTGGGCCACAAAAAATTTCCACAAGGAATGCATCGCAACTTTTATAATGGAAGTCAGTGGGAAAATGGTTTCGTGTTACGGAATTTAGCACTGCAAAAAGATTTTCAGGAACAGAACCCTTCCATAACCCAGGGGATGCCTACCAGAAAATATTGGAAATTTTAGTCTCCCAGAAACTCCCAAACTAAAACAACTGTTCATGCATCAATTATCTCTAGAATGTTGGGACACCATTATATTTGAGGCAATATTCCATACCTGTGACAGGCTTTGGCACAGCACACCAAATTAATCTGGACTTGTTGTTGGGACTCATGTACATACGATCTTCAAAGTGCAGTGAACATACTCTCATTGACATCCGGTTGGTGATAACTTTACTGTGATTCAAGTCTGGTCTTTTAATCAAATCACACCATATTTTAAACCTGGAATGATGAAAAAGACTCCATTAACTCCCTTTATGTGGATAAATTTGCTGACTGAATGACTGTAAACACAGACACTCCTACATGTAATACATATCATACATCTTAAAATGCAGAAAAAGTACAACTAAATTTTAAGACACTTTCAAAATGAATGACTGAACACAGTGCAAATAATATAATTTAGTAAAATATGACCAAAAGTTTATAATCAAGTTTTGCTTTACTGTCTTCCAATGAGAGTGACTTGTTTTGCATCAATTTTAGCATATGGATGTACAAGACAAGAATGGAAGAGACTGAAATTGAAGGATTATTGCAACATAATGACAATGACATGAGTAAACATTTCTGTTGAGTTGTGTCACTTTAATAGTTCACATTTTTTATGTGATGTGAACTTACAGTGCCGTACATGTTTGTTTTACTTAGTAGAGTGCAAATTCAAAGGGAAAGCAAGAAAATATTGGTAAGATACAGTATGTAAAATTTGAATTGGATGGTAGAAAAGAGCAAACACTTAATGCCCCCTGCCAACAGTGACAGAAGCATAAACATGTGTAAAGTTATTGAAATAATATATGAAATCTCCATGTGAAGTGTCATGGCTTTGTTAATGGTGGTAGTCCTGAAAAGCTCCGGTGTTAACCCATTTACAGCAGCACGAAACACAATCCAAGCCTAATAAGAATGGGAGATTAGTTCTATGATCCCTTTTTCTTATAGAGCCCAAAGCCAGGAACCTCTATATCAGTGGTTCTCAACCTTGTTTGCCCCATGCACCCCTTTCACCATATGTCAGAATGTCATTCCCCCCTCCTTGTCTGCCTCAAAAAGTGCATTCCAAATAATATGCATATAATACTGAAAATCCTTTATTTTTTCCATATTAGTACATATACATTTACAATTTTACATGGATTATTTTTATGGTGGAGTTTTACAAATTAAATGCCAATTGAAAATGTTGATGGATTTATAAAACTTGAATAAAAGTAAAATAGTTTTTTTTTTATTTATAATGAATTACTTAACAGACCAAACTGAAGCATAATGCAATAAACAAAAAGTTCAATAGAATACCAGGATATTGTAAATTTGTAATTAATTTTATTCAGATGAAGATTATAGTCAATGAGAAACCTGTGATTGTTTTTTCTTCGCCAATTCTGGGATACGCGGAGGAGTGCTTGAAAGGGCACAACGCAGGTCATTTTCTACCTCTAATCTACTACGTTGCTTCGTTTTAATTTGCAACAGAGTTGAAAAGCCTGACTCACAAAGATATGTCGACACAAACGGAAGCAATGCTCGGATAGCTCTTTCTGCCACTTTTGGGTAGGAATCGCACATCAAGGGCCAAAATTCTGTGATTGATTTCTCATCGAACATATCTCTTGCTCCCGAATCAGTTTTCCCCCCCCCCTGAAAACCTGAATTCCCCCCCTGGTTGAGAACCCCTGCTCTATATGCTTTACCTGCTGATGGCAGCTGGGGACTACAAAAAGATTTCCCACACCTTCTTGTTACATCATAGAAACTTAATGCAAAGATTAGGAGACAGAAAGACTATTAGAGCTATTGTCTGCACCATGCTTCTCACAGGCTACTACCAGCTGCTAAGTTAAATTTGAGGTTCAACCCTTTCATTTCATTCAGTTTCCTAACTGATCAGCTATGAGTCCCAAAGAGGGGATATCCAAGCCACCTGGTTACAGGCTTTACTTGAAAAAGGAATTTCAGAATCAATCCCACATTTTTAGCATGTGCTCTTTTGCTTGCCCTGCTGTACGTTACAATTAATCAGCTAGAAAAAAGAAGTGATGGTAAAACTAGAGGCCCTAAACTAGGCAACAAATGCTTCCCATGAGGGTCACCTTAACCACGCAGCAACAAGAGCACATACCATAACCTGATACAGTACTGGCTCCAGAATGTATCTGTACAGTGATCCCTCGGTTAACGAGCGCCTTGGTTAACGAAATTTTGGTTAACGAATTACCTTCCATAAGATTCTTCACTTCGGTTAACGAGCAATCCCTCGATTAACGCATTCCTTACGAGCACCCCTCAACATGTTTTCGCTTGCTCACTAGCTGTCGTATTAGTCCGCCAATACAGTAATCGGTTCGAGGGCTTAAATTCCTTACCATTTTAGTAAATATCAAGAAGGTTGTACTATTCAATCATTTTAAAAGTTTTATATTAAATTTTTTAGTCATTTTAACAATTATTGAACATAGCTGAAGTACAGGAAACTAGTTTTATGCACGCCAAACAGCCACTCAACACACCAAGCTTGGCGTCAGTTGTTTACAGGTTCAGAGGAAGGAACATCTTGTTTGAGACTCAACATAAATGCTTTTTTCTGTGTTTCCAGTCAAATTATTGGTCATTTTGAAATATATTTTACATATTGATAATATATAGCACAGTGCAGTGTTCATTTAAAGAAAATAATCTTGAATTACACCAAGTGAACTAAAATTTTATGGGTGAAATGGCGGCATGGGGTGACTTCTCTTCCACCCCAATGCCTTCTCTTCTCCCTTCTCCTCCACCCCCATTCTAATTCCCATCATCATCAACCAGGAGCCTTCTACATGCACACCTCAAAGTATATGTACTTAACTGCATTTATTTTTCGTTTGTATGTAATTTTCGGCGAGCTGAAACCAATTACCTAAAAACACATTGAAACAATGGTTTCGGTTAACGAGCAACCTTCTGGAACGAATTGTGCTTGTTAACCGAGGGACCACTGTACCTGCATCAGTGTTGGTCAAGTTTGGTCTTGAGAGAGCACACACTTGGTGCTGTCACAATGCTCTCTGGCAGATTGTTCCAGGAGTTCACAACTTTCACTCCAAAAAAGTTTGCCCAGACAATTTTTTGAATTTGTGGCTTCTTCAACCTTTAGCTGTGACTTCTAGTGAGGCAGGCATCTGCCAGCTCCAGGTATGGACATTTGACTAAATAATGCCTTCTGAGGTGTTTATAGACTTCTATAAAGTCACCCCATGGCCTTTACCCACCTATAGTATAAACTAAGCAGTTGCAGATAACTGAGGTGCCATAGTGCAGGCACCAGTCTGGTGGCCCTTCTTTGGACATTTTCAATCAAGGGGCAGCCTAGCCAGACTCTGGGCAAAGCAGCTGTCTCCCAGTCTGTGGCAAGTATAAATATTCTTCCAACCCTGGCCTTACTGGTGTTGCTATTATGCTATCTGGTATGACGAAGTCCTTATAGGAGTGTGAGTAAATAGCTGGCAGTGCCACTTGTTGCTCGTTCTTAGATAAATCATGATATTCCAGGTGTCAATTTCAAGTATGGTCATTGTGAACACCCCCTTTGATGAGTTTGTTATTTGCCAAAGATTTCAGTTGTATAATAATCTGCTTTCATACCATAAGAATTAACATATATGGTGGCATCTCTGCTATCTAATAATGTTAATGAATAATTATTGATCCTTAGTTCAACCACATTACCAACTTTCTTAACTTGACAATCTCTCCCACTAAATCTCTCATAATCTTCCCCTTATTTCAAACCCATCTATGGTACTGGCAGTATGACAACAAACTTTATTTAATTACTTTATGTTATTTAAGGTATTAATGATTTTTTTTTTTTAATACAGTACAGGGTACAGTACTGGTACCTAATGACAATGTGTTGTCGTCAATCTATGGAAATCACGTATTTCATTTAACAACCACCATAAAATGCTTTTGGTGTTATTACTTGCTAACTCTCTCGCGCATGATGATGCGATTCGCATCATATTCATGATAAGACCAACTTCACGGTGACGCAAATCGAGTCACCAAACTTAAAAAAATGTTCCAAAAATTAAGTTTCCAACAGAATTGCATGAAATTTTGATGCATCACAGTAGCAAGTAAGTTCTGTCAGATAAACTAATTGGCAACTCTCGCAGCCCGTAGAAAGGGAAGACTAGAAAGATAAATGTGCAGTATTATCTCAGCAGTAAGACCGCGAGTGAAAGCCACGTCCATTTAAATTTCCATAACTTCGTGCAGGCTGCCTCAACTCCTGGATTACAGTGCTTACCCTACTCCCTGAGTTAATATCTATTTAGTGTTAGATAAGTGAAGTGATGGTTGTGTAATGAAATATTTTTTTCATATTTACAGGGAAAGTGTTTAGTTTTCAAAAGCTGTTACCATATCAGGCTATTAGTTTTCAAAAGCTGTTACCGTATCAGGCTATACAACCTCGTTATAGTGACAATGTTTCGAAAAAAGTCTGAAAGAGGATGATTTTCTACAACTCCTGTTTGGGGACAGTGAGGATCAAGTGGATAGTGATAATAAAGAGCCTGGTAGTGAAAATGATCAAGATAACAACAAAGTCATGAATCTGAGGGAGAAATTGTGTCGGCTGCATCCACGTTATCACGTGCCTCACCACCAATGACTCCCTCTACCACCACCCCCACACCAACAACGTGCCACCCTTACTCTTCTTCACCACAGCCTTACACATCCCAAGCATCTCCTTCTTATCACCTGCATTATGCACACCTCATACCACCCGCTACCTCCCTCCCTCACCACCCAGGTGGTCCACCACCACCCCACCACATGCCTCCCACAGTCACCAAGCACCTTCCACCTACCACACTCCACTTATCAGCTACACTACATTGGATTCCCTCTCCTTCTCTACTCCACACTCACACACCCTCATCCACACTCCCACACACTCATCCACAACCCCACACACTCATCCACATCTCACACACTCATCCACACACTCCTACACTCACTCCACACTCACAATCATTCACTCTCACTCTTACAGTTTACTCGGGCTCATTCACCCACTTCCTCCCCCACAGTCCATCTACAAGTTCTTGAAGTCTTCCACCTTGCTGAAGGATGAGTACAGAATGATCTTATTTTATATCAGTAAAGAATTAATTTATTTTATAATATATTTTCTGCTATTTTATATTGCATTTTATTATTAG